GAATGATCGCTCCAAAACGCCCAAGGTAAGACAGCCCAAGAAGGCGCCAAGACGCTCCAGCAGGCTTCCGAAAAGAGGCCCACGAAGCCAAAATCGTCCCGTCCCTACGGGAAAACGTATATTTTTTGGATATACGACTGTTCGGCCTTCACGGCGTTGAAAACGGCCCACGATGCCGCCAGTACCGCCCCAAGAGGGCCCCAGAGGTTCACAAGAGGGCCCCAAGACGGCCCAAGAAGGCGCCAAGACGGCCCAAGAGGCGCCCAAAAGGGCCCAAGAGAGCTAGAAGACGGCCCCAAAACGGACCCAAGAGGGGGAGCCCGAACCGAACATCCGAGCCTTCCGCCCCAAGACGTTCCCAAGAGTGCCTAAGAGGTCCCCAAGAAGCCCGAAGAGGCCTCCAAGAGGCCTCCAAGAAGCCCCAAGAAGCTCCCAAGAGGCCCAAAAGAGGCCCCGAAAAGGCCGCCAAGAGGCTTCGAAACTGCCTCCAAAAGTCCGCCAAGCACCAAGACGTCAAAATCATCGACATCCGTTCGGAAACGATTATTTGGCCTTCATCCTCACGGACATCCCAGAGGCTTCACACCCAGAACCCCTGACGTCATGGTGTTTGCATGACACGACCCCGCAGAGATACCAACCCATTCCCCGGGACCAGCTTTTCGTCCTGAGTCGTTTTGAACGGTCCCGAAGCCAAGTAAAGGGCCCCCCACGGGCCGAAAACAGCGAACAACCTCCCGCCGTGAATTTTTGTGTTCATGACTCGAGGGGCGGATCGGGCCTTGGGCGATGGCTATCGACTGGGGCCGATTTTGTCCGGATAAGCAGGGGCCAACCGCGCCGGCATTCCTATTGGCGTACCACGAAATATTCAAAGAACGGACCCAATGTTCTTGGAACATAAGCCCGATGTGTTACAACAAGACGATCTCAGCCATAAATGCTCTAAGAGCATGTCTTGCGAACCTAAGACCTTAAATAACATTCTCTGGTGGGCCAACTGATGGGCCAGCCAAGACGCCTCGCAACTGCTTGACAGAGGGGTTAGTGGGGTCGGGCTGACCCGGGTCAATCCAGACCCGGGCCAGCCGGGCCTTGCAGGATCCTGCAAGATCCCGCAGGATCCTGCACCCAAACCCAGGTTTAAATCGGGCGTGTCCCCCTACAGGGGGATCTTCGACCAAAAACGAAACATGCTCCAATAATGCTCCAAAATGGCAAGCAAATGCGCAAAAAGTAATCACCATATCATATGTTGACTATTTTTGAAGATTCCTCCTGTAGAGGGACGGGCCCGACTTAAACCCAGTTCAGTGCGACCCTGGCCCTCCAGGATCCTGCAGGACCTGGTGCTTTGGCGGACCCCCGTGGCCGCAAGGCTGTCTTCCTCGCCGTGGCGCGCCGCTGTCGGGGCCCGGAGGGGAGTGGCGCCGGACGATCCTGCCCACTTGGGGCGCCTCCCGTCGCCCCATCGGGGCCTCCCTTGGAGGCCCTCGTGAGACTCGCGGGGCGCCCAAAAGGCCTCCGAAATCATGTGTCCCAGGGTGGCCGGAGAGGCCCCCCAGAGGGTCCCACGAATTCTTTCCGAGGGCGCAGCATGAACTGGAGCAGACAGCCACATGCTTGTTTCTCCACTTCTTCTTCTTATTTTTCTTCTTCTTCTTCGTCTATATTTCGCCACGGCCGCCCACCGCGCTCTGGCCCTGCGCGCCTGGCTGCTGCTGCCTGCCGGCTGCTCATCGTCGAATTCTTCGGCGTCTGAGCGTCCCTCCTTCCTCTCGGCCTCCCCCCTCCCTCCTTGCACGCCGGCCAATTTGCTAATTAGTGCCCCTACCGTAGCACCCCGCACTTGCGGATAAGAGTGAGGGGGCGGGCGCGGGCGACGCGGGCGTCGTCGAGCCGGCGGACCTCGTGGCCCCCACCTTCCCTGCCGATGGCGATCTCCTCCTCCTCCTCCTCCTCTTCCTCCTCCTCTTCCTCCTCCTCCTCCTCCTCCTCTTCCTCGTCCTCGTCCTCATCGTCATCGTCCTCCTCCTCCTCGTCCTCCTCCTCCTCTTCCTCGTCCCTCTCCCCCCCTCGTCCTTTCATCATCGTCCTCCCATTGTCGTCCTCCCCCTCATCGGCCTCCATCACCGTCCTCCCATTGTCGTCCATCATCATCCTCCTCCCCCTCCTCCTCCTCCTCGTCCTCCTCCTTCCCCTCCTCCCCCTCCTCGTCCTCCTGCTCCTCCTCTTTTCTCTCTCCACATTATCCTTACATCCTCTCTTCTTCCGCGTTCTCCTCGTCCCCTGTTTACTCCTCCTGCCTTCCTCCGAACTGCAACGCAGTCCTTTTTTCCACTTTATGCTCCCCGCCTTCTCTGATCAAGGCAACTCGCCAGGGCAAAGTTGCTGGACGGGCTGGTGTGGATGCGCGGGGCTTGAAGAGGTCCTTGCGGGCTCAGACGGCATGCGAAAATCCGCCGCCGCGCTTGTGCGGCATTGGTTTGTTCAGCGAACGTGGTTTAGGTCGCGGGTGGGTCGCGGGCTCTCCACCTCCACCTGGAAGGAATGCAAAAGCAGCCCGCCGCAGGCGCCAACAAAAATTGGTTTGTACACTGAACGTGGTTTGGGTCGCGGGTGGGCCGCGGGTTCTCCACCGGGAACGAATGCAAAAGATGCCCGCCGCAGGCGCCGAAAAATGTAGTTTGTACCCTGAACGTGGTCGCGGATGGGCCGCGGGCTCTCCACCTGAAGCGAATGCAAAAGATGCCCGCCGCAGGCGCCGAAAAATGTGGTTTGTACCCTGAACGTGGTTTGGGTCGCGGGTTGGTCGCGAGTTGGTCACGGGGTGGGTCGCGGGCTCTCCACCTGGAAGGAATGCAAAAAAAGCCCGCCGCAGGCGCCGAAAATGGTGGTTTGTACCTTGAACGTGGTTTGGGTCGAAGGTGGGTCGCGGGTGGGTCGCGGGGGGTCGCGGGTGGGTCGCGGGTGGGTCGCGGGTGGGTCGCGGGTGGGTCGCGGGTGGGTCGCGGGTGGGTCGCGGGGTGGGTCGCGGGTGGGTCGCGGGGTGGGTCGCGGGGTGGGTCGCGGGTGGGTCGCGGGTGGGTCGCGGGTGGGTCGCGGGGTGGGTCGCGCGGGTGGGTCGCGGGTGGGTCGCGGGGTGGGTCGCGGGTGGGTCGCGGGGCGGGTTGCGGGTGGGACGACGACAACAAACAACAACAACAATAAACAACAACAACAACAACAACAACAACAATCACTTTACCCGAACGCTCAGTGTTCTCACCAGTGCCAGGGTTTTCATGCGACGCCAGCCAATACCCCCACTTTGTGGGGGGGCAGTGCAAGCTCTACCAAATATCCAAACGACTCTTCGCCACCACCCACACCCAGCTTCCCGCCCTATGACGTTCGGACACTTCACTTCGTGGCCTGCGGACGACCGTGGCTACTACACTGGCGTGGAGTACACACCCACAGAAGTTGTTAAGCCTACGTTCGTACACCCACAGAAGTTGTTAAGCCTTGTTAACCCACAGAAGTTGTTAAGCCTTCCACAGAACATCTGTTGCATATGATGCATATGGTACATGATACACATGATACACATGATACGTACTCACAAGATAGTTGATCACATCTTTAGGGCAAATTCCTGAGGGATGTGGGAATACACAAGAGAGAGAGGATATGGTTGTCCCGATGGTTGTCTCGATGGTTGTCCCGATGGTTGTCCTGATGGTTGTGGTTGTCCCGATCGTTGTCCCGATGATTGTCCCGATGGTTGTCCTGATGGTTGTGCTTGTCCCGATCGTTGTCCCGATGACTGTCCCGATGATTGTCCCGATGGTTGTCGCGAAGAAAAAACGAATTGTCCCGCATGGTATTATTTGACAGGGATGATGGCCCTGGCAGGTGCGCAACCGTTGTCGCAGAAGTTCGAAAAAGTTGCTCGCAAAAGCCCGTTTGACAGAAATGTTTAAAAAGTGTTGGGTTTCCTACGAATCCGCAAGAGCGCGCGGGATGAGATTTTGACATTTTTTGTTGAAAAACCATTGGTTTTTTGATGTTTTTATGTTAAAATCGCTGCGAACACTAAGGTTTTGGAAGGATTTCGTCTTGCGCGCGCGAATGTCCACTTTACCTTATTTTTTGCAAGGGATTCTTGAAATTTGATTATATTAGAACAAGAAATGTCATTTTCTATTGTTTTTTTGCAAGGGAAAGCGGATTACAACAAAACAACCGGATCCTGTACACACCCTCTTTTCTGAGGCTTCCTCACGAAAATGATGAAAATGTAGCTGCGGCCTAGGCGGCGCAGGGGGGGCGCGCACCAGGGGGCCCAACAATAATTATTCTTTAGAATAAATAATGTTCAACAACAACAACAACAACAACAACAACAACAACAACAACAACAACAACAACAACAACAACAACAACAACAACAACAACAACAACAACAACAACAACAGCAACAACAACAACAACAACAACAGCAACAGCAACAACAACAACAACAACAACAACGAGAATCCGCACCGCGGAATTCAACTTCAGCCACGCACCCAGGGACAGTGAATGACCGTTCGGCCCCCTCACTCTGACCTAGCTGTTCGCTGGAGCGGATTTCGCCGCCTCGCCGCTCACGGAAAAAAAGTGTCTCCACTTCTTCTTTCCAGCTTCATCCACGGTCTTCGACCCCTGTGGGCCCCCGCTTGGGTTGTTCGGCGGTCTGGGGGGTCCTCCGGGGCCGTCCTGGACCCCTGTCACGCCCTGTGCTATTTACATTTCCAGCTTCTCTCACCATGACGCCCGCCGTGTGTTAACGGGCTTCGCACCTGGCTACATGTTCGCCGATGCGACCACGTTCCAAAAATGTGGAGCGGCAGTATCTGCCCCCTCTGCAGCGTTGAAGCGAGCAGCTCTAGCCAGGATGGGGCCACCAACTGCATCAAGACAAGAACCTGCTCTTCCGAAGAGGACATGCTGCATAGCCTGGTGCGGGCCGCACCTCACGCGCCGAACGACGCACCGCTCTGGTAGGGGAAGAAACAATGGCATGAACATAAAAACTCAGAGGTCCGCGCGGATTCCTCGGATCCGAGAGCAACCCGTGCTCGGGCCCCGTCCCCAGCGGGGACGCGCCCGCCCCCTGCGCGGGCGACCAGGCGAGGGGCCTGGGGACACCATGTCGAGAGGGGCCTCTTCTTCCTCCTCCTCCTCCTCCTCCTCCTCCTCCTCCCTCCTCCTCCTCCTCCTCCTCCTCCTCCTCCTCCTCCTCCTCCCTCCTCCTCCTCCTCCTCCTCCCTCCTCCTCCTCCTCCTCCCTTTCTCATTCCTCCTCCTCCCCCTCCTCCTCCTCCTCCTCCTCCTCCTCCTCCTCCTCCTCCTCCTCCTCCTCCTCTGGAAGCCAGGCCCCCCTGTGATCCGGGCCCCCCTGAGATCCGGGCGCGGGCGGCGGACCGGGAGGTGGGCCAGCGGTTGAAGGGGGTCCCAAAGCCATGCGGCGACAGCCCTGGCGGTGACCTCGAAAGCCGCGCAAAGACCTCACCGCACGGTCGGGCACCGCACGGTTTTGGGACCCTGGACCCTGAGATCCTGGCGTCGCAGTTGTTTCACAACGGGCGTTTTCGCTTTACTTCGGGCCCCAGGACCCTCACATATCGATCCGACTCGAAAAAGGACGCAGAAAGGTGGGGTTTTGGGCTCCAGACGTGATTTTTTGCGATGTTGCATTGTTTTGAAAGGGCCCTGTGACACACAAAGAAATACACACACGTCACAGGATTCCCCATATTTCCCCTCTGGGTTTTGTCTCCCCCCCCACTTCCCATATTTTACCATATCTTCTGGCGAATCGACGATTCATTGTGTCTGTGTCTTCTTTTTCCCTCCTGATTTCTGCCGCGGCGGACCTCAGAGGCAGGCGCCCGAGGCGTCCTCGGAGAATACGCCTCGAGTCCCAAAGCTGTGCGGCGGCCCCGGCTTCCTACCGGCTCACCACGCGGTGTGGTCGCCACCCCCGTGACCTTCCAGAGTGCTCAAAGATAGCCCTCCAGACCTATATGCCGATCTGGGCTGCCTAAAACCTCGACAGGAGTTAAGATGTCGAGGTCCTGATTTTATTTTTCTGCCCTCCTGGAAGGTCGGGGCCCGGTTGGGGGCCCCCGACCTGGACCCCACGGGGGGGAAGCTGGGCCCCCCTGAGACCCGGGCGCTGCAATTCTTCAACGCCGTGGGCGTCTCTGCGCGGTGTCGGGCCCCGGGGCCATCACAAACGGCTGCGGCTTGGCAAGTGCCGCACACATTGGCATGGGGTTCTGGATGGGATTTTTCGCGATGTTGCAGCTCTTCGTGACGTCGGATCTCAGGTACGGCCCCTTACGATGCAAGGGTCCTCCTCGCGAGTCGGCGACGGCTGGCCTGGACCAAGACAACGGCTTGCGCCGACGAGGCGCCGACGAAGTCCCACGACATCTCGGTCATGGCCATGAGATTCCCCCCCGCCATAATCCCCCCAAGGGACCCCAAACCGGCAAATTGACCCCCCCAGCATCCCCCAAAGGGACCCCTAAACCGGCAATTTGACCCCCCCCCGGGCCCGGTCAGACCCCGGACCGAACGCGCCACAAGGCTCCAGAACTCGTCAAAAAGGTACCAAAACTGGACAAAAGAGGTACCAAGACGCTCCCCGGACGGTCCCCGAGACCACGATTCGCCGACATAGCGCCCCCATTTCCAGGCGGTCTCCGGAGCTGCCGAAACGCCCATAAAAAAGCCCCTAAGATGCGCCCCGAGAGGGTCGCAAGAAACAGAAATCGGCCCAGATCTTTCGAAAAGCATGCGTTACTCCGCATGCTCGCCTACTCGGCAATCACAACGTCCACAACAGGCAAAGACACCTCCAACATCGCTCCCAGACGGTCAAAGGGGCCCCAAAGCAGGGTCGTTGAGGGTCCAACGACAACCCACGAAACCCTCAAGACAGCCCCGGAGGGCCCCCAGACGGCTCCAACACGGAGCCCACAAGGCACCTGTTCGAGCCTTCGGCTCCAAGACGCTCCCAGCCTGCTCCAAGGACACCCCAAAAGAGCCTGCGGGACCTCTCAGAAAACCTCCGAGGCCTCCAAGAAGCCACGAGGAAGTCCCCAAGAAACCCCAAAACGACCTGCAAGACGACCCCGTCAGGCTTCGCACGAAATCTTCTTCACCATCCGTGTGGCCGCCTACCTGTATACCGCGCAAGGTGGCGGGATACGCCGCGTCCCATTCGACAACGACTCGCCCAGTTTTCGGACCGCCGCATGCCGTCTATGGGCGCGGGTGTTGACAGGTATTTTCCCCAAATCGTCATTCCTCCTTCTCCTCCTCCTCCGAAGGCTTTCCTCCGCCTCTCCCCCATCCTCCCCCTCTTCCTCCTCCTCCTCCTCCTCAGTTTTTTTCCTGTTTGGTACCATGTCACCATCTCCGCATCTCAGGATCAACAACATCACCACCAGCATCATCATCGCCATCACCCGCACCATGACAACCGCCATCACCATCACCACCACCACGGATCACCATCACCACCGCCACGGATCACTGCCTTGTCGCGTGTCTGGACACATGTGAGGCCTCCACACGTGCAAGATTCGTCCCGTGAGCGGCCCCACATGCCCCCGGACTCGCTCGGGGATGGCCCCGAAGAGCCTCGAGCCCGCCCACCCAAAGAAACAAGACATCACAAGTACGCCCCAAGACAGAAGCACAACATCCCCAAGACGATCAAGTGGTCGGCGGATGTGGCGCAAGCCTAAAGAATCCACGTCCGGAGGCGACGTGCTACGCGGCAGCGTTTTCCGGCGAACGCTTTCATGCAATGTATCCAATGTATCCAAAGATTGCACAATTGCAACACATTGCATTGTGTTCCATTATTATGTCTCCCCCCTAACCCCCCCCAGGGGCTACGCCACATCCGTCGACCCAAGATGGCCACCCCCACCCAGGGCTCAAAAACCTGCCATAACCGATAAAAAATTAATGATTTCTAAATATTGGGCCTCGTGGGGGGCCACGAGGGCGCCAAGACGGCTCAAGATGGGCTCAAGAGGGCCCAGAAAAAACCCAACGACGACCCAAGGGGGCCCCAAGAGCGCCCACAACTGCACCTCCAAATGCCAGAATCATGTATTTGCCTATGGTGTTGGCGATATTTCAGCGTTCTCGTCTTTGCGGTCCACCGCCTCCGCGAGGGTGCGGAGCTCGCGGTACGTCTGCACGCCGATCTCCTTCACCGGGTGCTGCGGCAGGTATGAATCGTGAGGGGGTACCGAAGGGCGATCGGGCCCGTCGCGTCGACGGCCGCCTCCCCCTCCTGCGAGCCCAGGAAGTCCGCCATCTGCTGCAGGCTCAGCTCCGTGAGGCGGCCCGGGGCGGGGGCCCCTAAGACGGCCCAGGAGGACGTTAAGAGGGCCCCAAGACGGCCGCGAGAAGCCCCCAAGACGGCCTCCGAAGGGGCGAAACGGCAGAAAAACGCCCCACGACGGCCCAGGACGCCCCCACGAGGCCCCAAGACGCACCCAAGGGGCCCCAAGAAACCCCCAAAAGGCCTCCAAGGCGTCTCCAAAAAGCCTCCAAACGGCCCAATAGAAGCCCCCCAAAGCCCACACAGCGACTGGAGTGTACTGTCATTTTCCCCCCTCTGGGCGAAGTGCTGCGCAGCGCCAGCCAGGTGGAAGTTGGTCACGGCGGCGCCCATGATTAGTGCTGGCGCTGGAAGGGGATATGGGGAAGGAGTACGAAAAGGAGGGAGGGGGGAGAGAGGCCCCAAAGACGTCCCCATGACGGCCCAAGACGCCCCCACGAAATTCCCGAGAACCCCCAAAACGACTTCATTGTACGTTCCCCGGACGCACCCCGCGAAGCGAGAGGAATCCACGTCCGGAGGTGACGTGCTGAGCGGCAGCGTTTTCCGGCGAACGCCTTCATGCAACGTATCCAATGTATCCAAAGATTGCGTAATTGCAACATGTCGTATTGTGTTCCATTATTATGTATCCCCCCTAACCACCCCCAGGGGCTACGCCACATCCGTCGACCGAAAGTGCTCCCCCCCCCCCTCCCGGGGATCAAAGACCGACCATAACCTATAGAAAATCAATGATTTCGGCCTTTTGTGCCTCTTGGGGGGCCACGAGGGCGCCAAGACGGGTCAAAATGAGCCCAAAAAGGCCCCCCAAAAACCCAAATGACAGCCCAAGAGGGCCCCAAGAGCGCCCACAACTGCGCCTCCAGAGGGATTGTCCGATGGTTTTGGCGATATTTCAGCGTTCTCGCCTTTGCGGCCCAAACAGCTTCCCAAATCGCCCCAGAACGCCCCAAAAAGCCCCCAAGAGGGCTCCGAGACGGCCCAAGAGGGCCCCAAGACGGCCCAAAGAGACCCCCAAGACGGTCCAAGGGGCCCCTAAGACGGCCCAAGAGGACGTCAAGAGGGCCCCAAGGCGGCCGCGAGAGGCCCCCAAGACGGCCTCCGAAGGGGCGAAACGGCAGGAAAACGCTCGACGACGGCCCAGGACGCCCCCACGAGGCCCCAAGACGCACCCAAGACGCCCCAAGAAACTCCCAAAAGGCCTCCAAGAAGTCTCCTGTCATCTTCCCCCCCCGGGCGAGGTGCGGCGCAGCGCCAACCAGGTGGAAGTTGGTCACGGCGGCGCCCATGATTAGAGCTGGCGCTGGAAGGGGATTTGGGGAGGGAGTGTGAAAAGGAGGGAGGGGGGAGAGGCCCCAAAAACGTCCTCAAGACGGCCCAAGACGCCCCCACGAAATTCCCGAGAACCCCCAAAACGACTTCACTGTACGTACTCCGGACGTGCACCCCGCGAAGCGAGAGGAATCCACGTCCGGAGGTGACGTGCTGAGCGGCAGCGTTTTCCGGCGAACGCCTTAATGCAACGTATCCCATGTATCCAAAGATTGCAGAATTGCAACATATCGTATTATGTTACATTTTTATGTCTCCCCCGTGCCCCCCCCAGGGGCTACGCCACATCCGTCGACCAGAAGTGGCCACCCCCATTTGGGGTTCAAAAACGTACCCAAACCTGTGCAAAATCGATGATTCGGGACTTTGGGCCCTCTGGGAGGCCCAATACGGCCTCAAGACGGCTCCATACGGCTTCAAGACGGACCATGATGGCCCCAAAAGGGCCCAAGACCCCTAAGACGTCCCAGGAGGGCCCCAAGACGACCCCCCAGAGTGTCTCCAGAGGCCAAAAGTATTAATTGTCCTAAGAGGGCCCCAAGACGGCCCAAAGAGCACCCAAGGCGATCCAAAAAGCCACTGAGAAGGCCCAAGAGGACCCCAAGAGAACCCCAAGGCGGCCGCGAGAGGCCCCCAAGACGGCCTCCGAAGGGGCGGAGCGGCGCAAAACCCCTCCAAGGCGGCCCCGAGAGGCCCCCAAGATGCCCCCAAGGGGCTCCCCAAAAAACCCAAGAGGCCCCCAAGAAGTCCCCAATAAGCCTCCAGGAGGCGTCAAAAAAAAAACCCACAAGGCCACACAACGACTGAAGCGGAATGTTATGTTTCTCCCCCTGAGCGAAATGCGGCGCAGCGCCAGCCAGGTGGAAGTTGGTCACGGCGGCGCCCATGATTAGAGCCGGCGCTGGAAGGGAAGATGGGGAGGGAATATGAAAAGGAGGGGGGGGAGGCCCCAAAGAAACCCCCAAGAGGCCCAAAGAAGCTCCCAAGAGGCCTCCGGGAGGCCCCCAGGAGGCTCCCAAGAGGCCCCGCGACGACGCGGCTGTACGTACTCCGGACGTGCACCCCGCGAAGCGAGAGGAATCCACGTCCGAAGGTGACGCGCTGAGCGGCAGCGTTTTCTGGCGAAGGCCTTAATGCAACGTATCCAATGTATCCAAAGATTGCATAATTGCAACATGTTGTAATGTGTTCCATTATTACGTTTCCCCCCCTAATCCCCCCCAGGGGCTACGCCACATCCGTCGACCCAAGATGGCCACCCCCTCCCGGGGCTCAAAAACTTACCAAAACCGATAGAAAGTCTATGGTTTTGACACTTCGGGCCTCTTGGGGGGCCACGAGGGCGCCAAGACGGGCCAAGATGGGCCCAAGAAGGCCAAACAAAACCCACTACGGCCCCAGAGGGCCCCAAGAACGCCCACAACTGCGCCTCCAGAGGCCGAAGTCATTGATTGTCCTATGGTGTTAGCGATATTTCAGCGTTCTCGCCCTTGCGGCCCAAACGGCTTCCAAAATCGCCCCAGAACAACCCAAAAAGTCCCCAAAAGGGCCCCAGGACGGCCCCAAGACGGCCCAAGGCGGCCGCGAGAGGCCCCCAAGACGGCCTCCGAAGGGGCGAAACGGCAGGAAAAGACGCTCCAAAACGGCCCAGGACGCCCCCAAAAGGCCCCGAGAGGCCCCCAAGATGCCCCCCAGGGGCCCCAAAAAGCCCCCAAGAGGCTTCCAAGAAGTCTCCAAGAAACTTCCAAAAGGCCCCATAGAAGCCCCCCGAAGCCCACACAGCGACTGGAGTGTACTGTAATTTTTCCCCTTCTGGGCGAAGTGCGGCGCAGCGCCAGCCAGGTGGAAGTTGGTCACGGCGGCGCCCATGATTAGAGCTGGCGCTGGAAGGGGATATTGGGAGGGAGTATGCAAATCCACGTCCGGAGGTGACGTGCTGCCGGAGGCAGGTCCGCGGAGGCTATAATGCAACGTATCCAGCGTATCCAATGATTGCATAATTTCAACATATGGTATTGTGTTAGTTAATGTAACCCCCTAGCCCCCCCAAGGGGCCACACCACTTCCGCCGACCCAAAGTGGCCCCTCCCTCCTGCACCTCAAAAACCTACAAAATCCAACCAAAACCTCTGGACAATGTGTGATTTGGGCCCCGTCGCCCTTTTGGGGCCCCACGAAGGCGTCCAGACGGCCCAAGATTCATTGTGAAAGTTGGAAGCATTTAAAAACGAACGTGACCAGACAGCGCAAGAGCGCCCCCAAGATGCCTACACGGGGCTCCGAGAGGCCCCCGAGAGGCCTCACAGACGCCCTCGCGAGGACTCAAGAGGCCCCAAAGAGGCCTCCAAGGGGCCCCCAAGAAGTTCCCAGAGGCCCGACAACGACTGGACTGTACGTGCTCCGGACGTGCACCCCGCGAAGCGACAGGAATAGTTTCTTTCATAAGCCTCCCCAAACGATCGGCCTGGCTGTCACCTATGAACATCAGCCTCAATGGCACATAATCTGTGGACTCCGGCCCCAGCTTATCAGAGGAAGCCTCGCTGCTACGAACACCTGGGATTTGATACGTGGAACTTGGTAACGTGCAGCCTCTTGTTGCCGCGAGCACCAACATGGCAACACAACCCATCGAAACCATGCCAGATGCGATGACACGACCAGCTGGTGCCTTGGCCGAGAGCTGCAACAATGGCTTCTCAAATAGCCAGAACGACGCTGTGGAAATTATGATTGATGCGGCACCGATCGCAATGTCGCGCCCGATCATGCCAGGCTGTCGTGCACGCATGGTGTTGATTTCTGGATCACCATACCAGACTATGAGAACCCAATGTACGAGGTACAAGCCGTATGATATGATACCACAGAATCCGCCGCCCCCTGTCGATTCATCGCAAAGGTGTCTGGCGTGCTGGACCCTCTCGGTTTTGGTTTTGGTTTTTTCCAAAAGAACTCCCCCTGGCGCTTTGGCCCGACCCGCCGGCCCTGCGGTAAGCCTGCAAACGACCTCAACGTCCACAACAAATCCTCCAAGACGCCTCAAGATGGCCTCCAAGATGGTCACGTTGGTCCAAGATGGCCTCCAAGATGGCCTCCAAGTCCGCCCAAGATGGTCCAAGACGTCCTCCAAGACGGCCCAAGAGAGTCCAAGACAGCCCAAGACGGCCCAAGAGGCCCTCTAGAGGCCTCCAAGACGGCCCAAGAGGCCTCCAAGAGGTCCTCCAGGAGGGCCCGAAGAGGCCAAAATCATTGATATTCCTTTGGTTTTTGAAAGATTTTGGCATTCGCTTCGTCTCGGTTTTCCGACGACCCAAGACGGCCTAAGAGGCCCCCAAGATCGCCCCCACAGCGCCCAAGAGGCCTCCAAGATGGCCTCAGGACTGCCCAAGATGCCCCCAAGACGGCCCCAAGAGGGCACAAAGACGACCCAAGAGGCCTCCAAGACGCCCAAGATGGCATCTAAGACGACCCTGGAGCACCCCAAGAGTGCCCCAAGTCGGCCCAGAAAGGCCACCCAAACGGCTTCCGACGGCGTCAGACGGGCCAGGAGCCCACCAAGATGGCCGAAGTTGGCTCGAAGCTGGCCCAAGACGGCCCAAGAGGCCTCCAAGAGGGCCTCCAGGAAAGCATTGATTTCCCATGACTTCTTGAAGGATTATGGCATTTGCATTTTTTCTGCCTTCCGACGGCCCGAGACGGCCCAAGTGCCCCCAAAGATCGCCCACGAGGCCCAAAACGGCACCAAGAGGCCCCCAAGACGGCCCAAGAGGCCTCCAAGACGCTCAAAATGGCCTCCAAGACGGCCCAAGAGCCCTCCAAGACGTCCTCCGAGAAGGCACGACAGGGTCAAAATGGGCTCCAGACGGCCAAGATGTCATTCAAGATGCCCACGTGTTCCCCGAAGGCTTTCCAAACCGATTCGGGGAACACATGGTTCGATAGCTTGGCAGGTCTGGCCTCAACGTTCGGCTACATAGGCGCTTCCAAAAAGGCAGGGGGCGGCGGTGATTCGCCGCATGCGTCTTCGATACTAATGAACGGCTGCCCGCGAATTTTGTGAAAATCGCCCACGGCGGCAACGGCTCACTAGTTTGCAACACCTGAGCAATGGCACAGAACGTAATTACAAAGGCCACCGGAAGCCTGAGCCAACGGACATAGTGATCCATTAGAACATCTTGAGGCACAGATATCATACTACATCCCACAAGAGTCACAAAGGCGACAGCGCCTGCAACTTCCAACGTGATGCGGAGGAGTGTGCTCATCGGAGGGCGTTCTGGTGAGCGCGATATTTGTTCGTTGATCCACGGCGAGAGGTGAAAGCAGCAAGCAACCAAGCCGCCGACGGCAAATTCGCCAGCTCGTGTCCAACTCGCGTAATATGCAGCAGATCCACCCTGAGTCTCGTACACGTATTTGCAGATATATTGTGAGAAGGTAATCGCCACGAGTTCAAAAGATAGTAAGGCTTTCAACAAAAACCGCATTGCCGGTGTGGACATTGACGGAGACATTGCCGGGTCCGGTTCAGGCACGCTGCTCTCACGCCCCTTGCTGGCGGTCACGAAGGTGGCCGCACGCTGAATCGCTTGAAAAAGAAGGGGCCACAGGATGTAGTACTGCTCCTCAATGGAAAGACTCCACACATGGCGCACCACCGACGGCTTCGGGTCTGAAAAATAGTCTTGCTGCTGAGAGATCAGATTCCAATTCTGCCCATAAGCAATCGTGTACAGCAGGTCTTTGCGAAGGTAGTATGATGCAATCGGGTCCTGCTCTCCTGTGATCGCCTTCTCTATCAAGGTCGCGCACGCGATGCTAGCGACTGTAAGCATCAAAGCTGGGATAAGCCGCGCCACACGCCGCTTCCAGAAAATGAAGACGTTAAATTCGCCATGTTTGGCTTGCGTACGTAACGCTTGCGATGTCATGAGAAACCCTGAAAGCGAAAAGAACACCCCGATGCAAATCCAAGCGCTGTTTACACCCAGCCGGAGATGGTAGGCCACAACCAACAAGCAACCGATCCCGCGGAGCCCATCCAACGTATCGAATCTGCTTATATTGACGGGTTGTTCTCCCTTTGTTGCTGGATGACCCGGAGAGGACGCGGTCACCAGTACTGCTTCCTCATCCCCACAAGGTGCTTCAGATTCTTCGTCGACACCTTTCCCTAGAACGTGCGCGCGAGCTTCTGCATGTTCACCATGTGCCGTCGCCATGGGAAACAACAAGAAATCTTTTTCAACCAACCCTACCGGGACTTCGCTCGGCGGGCGTGGTGAAATACTGTTACTGCGTCTGTCAGGTACAGGGGTTGAGCCAAAATGGTTGCGGATCCGTTGGGATGTCTTTCGGGATCTTCGCGTGAAATAAAAGGAATTCAAATGTTTCAACTCATGGGATCATGGGATCTCGATTTCTACGGTGGTTTCAGGGGCAGCAACAAGGACGCGAAGACGATCCAAGAGAGTGCCAAGACAGCGTCAAAGAGTTCAACAATATTCCCGAAACATCTTGGCATCTGACTCCGAAGTCTTGATGGTGCTAGAGGAAGAGGATAGGGAGTAGGAGTCCCAACTTGAAAAGACAGGGAATATCTGGAAATCCATTCTTTTCTTCAAATTCCTCGGTCTGATAGCGTTGAAGCGGGAAAACGTGAGAAGGCGAAAAACGTCGACACAAACAACTTGAAATCAACGATTTTAGCCTCTTCGGGCTCTCTCGGGACGGCTCTCGAAGCTCTCTTAGGCTGTTTGGGGGGCCTCGTCGGGGCTTTTGGGGGGGCCTCTCAGGGGTCTGGGGTGTGTTGGAGGCCTCTGGGGGTCTCGGAGGTCTCTGGAGGCCTCCTGCTCCCGCTCTTGGGCTCATCTTGGGCCTGTTCTGGGGTGGTCTGGAGCTGTCCTGGGCGCCTCTTCGGCAATCTTGAGGACGTCTTGGACCGTCTTGGGGCCGTCTTGGGGGCATCTTGGGCGGTCTTGGGGCGATCTTGGGGGCCTCTTCGGCCGTGTTCGAGCGTCGGAAGCATGAAATGGTGAGAAGGCCAACAACCCTGAACAACAACAACAATGACAATGAACGATACGAGGTTCTCCAGGCGCTCCCGGGAGGCCTCTCGGAGCTCTCTTGAGGTCTCTTGGAGGCCTCCTGGGAGCCTGGAGAGCCGCCTGAAAGCTATCCTGGGTTGCTTGGGGGCGTCTTGGGCCGTTCTTTTACGTTCTGGGCGCTTCTTGGGGTCGTCTTGAGCTGTCCTTGGGCTTTGGGGGCTCCCCGGGAGGTCGGGAAGCGCGGTACCGGGAGCGTTCCGCAGATGTTCCGGGAAGGTGTGGGACCCCTGGGAGGAGGGGAGGCGTATTTATTGAGCTTGAAAAAAAAAGAAATCTGGAATTCCCTGTTACCTTTTCAAATTCCTCGGTCTTGGAGCGTTGGAAGCGGGAAAACGTGAGAAGGCGAAAAACGTCGACACAAACAACTTGAAATCAACGATTTTACCCTCTTCGGGCTCTCTCGGGACGGCTCTCGAAGCTCTCTTGAGCTGTTTTGGAAGCCTCGTCGGGGCTTTTTGGGGGACCTCTCAAGGGTCTGGGGTGTGTTGGAGGCCTCTGGGAGGTCCTTGAGTCTTCTCCGAGGTTTCTGGCGGCCTCCTGCTCCCGCTCTTGAGCTCATCTTGGGCCTGTTCTGGGGTGGTGTGGAGCTGCTCTGGGCGCCTCTTCGGCAGTCTTGGGGCCTCCTTGGCCCGTCTTGGAGTCATCGTGGGAGCCTCTTGGGCGATATTGGGGCGATCTTGGGGGCCTCTTCGGCCGTGTTGGAGCGTCGGAAGCATGAAATGGTGAGAAGGCCAAAAACCACAAACAAAAAATAAACTTAACGATTTTAGGCTCTCCGGGCGGTCTCGGAAAGCCTGGGTTGCTTGGGGGCGTCTTGGGCTGTTCTTTTACGTTCTGGGCGCTTCTTGGGGTCGTCTTGGGCTGTCCTTGGGCGTTTTGATTGCTCCCCGGGACGTCGGGAAGCGCGGCACCGGGAGCGTTCCGCAGATGTTCCGGGAAGGTGTGGGACCCTTGGGAGGAGGGGAGGCGTATTTGTTGAGCTTGAAAAAACCAGAAATCTGGAATTCCCTGTTACCTTTTCAAATTCCTCGGTTTTGGAACGTTGGAAACGGGAAAACGTGAGAAGGCGAAAAACGTAGACCAAAACCACTGGAAATCAACGATTTTACCCGCTTCGGGCTCTCTCGGGACGGCTCTCGAAGCTCTCTTGAGCTGTTTTGGGGGCCTCGTCGGGGCGTTTTGGGGGACCTCTCAAGGGTCTGGGGTGTGTTGGAGGCCTCTGGGAGGTCCTTGAGTCTTCTCCGAGGTTTCTGGCGGCCTCTTGCTCCCGCTCTTGGGCTCATCTTGGGCCTGTTCTGGGGTGGTGTGGAGCTGCTCTGGGCGCCTCTTCGGCAGTCTTGGGGCCTCCTTGGCCCGTCTTGGGGCCGTCTTGGGGGCATCTTGGGCGGTCTTTGGGCTGCCTTGGGGGCCTCTTCGGCCGTGTTGGAAGTTGGAAGCATGAAATGGTGAGAAGGCCAACAGCCCCGAACAAAAACAATGACAATTAACGATACGAGATTATCCGGGCGCTCTCGGGAGGCCTCTCGGAGCTCTCTTGAGATCTCTTGGAGGCCTCCTGGGAGCCTGGAGAGCCGCCCGAAAGCTATCCTGGGTTACTTGGTGGCGTCTTGGGCCGTTCTTTCACGTTCAAGGCGCTTCTTGGGGTCGTCTTGGGCTGTCTGTGGGCATTTTCGGCGCTCCCCGGGAGGCCAGGAAACGCGGTACCGGAAACGCAAACCAGATGTGAGCGAGGTGGAGGACGCCCTGGGAGGGGGTCCGTTAGCTATTTGTGTATATATATATATATAAAACTAGAACCACGCGCGCGCTTCGCGCGCGCTTAGGTTCTAGTCACACTTGCGCCCACTCCTAACATTGGCAATGCCGCCGCGGCTACGACTTCTTTTTGCACCATCACCGCGTTCACGATCACTTCCGATTCCATGTCCATTCTGGGCATGACCACCTTTTCCACGACGATTGCACTTTCCGCGACCATTGTAACGGCCATGCGTTCAATCTCCGCCTGTACCACCACCAATACCACGACCATTGCCACTGCCACTGCCGCGATCACCACGACCACCATCATCACCACCACGGCCAGTGCCACCGCGTCTACCATCGTAATCATCAGTAGCACCACAATCGGCGCACGAACTGCAGTCATCTCCACCTGGACCCCATCCGGGGCTGTCCTGGGTGAGGAGAGAAAGGTCGGCCCGCCCGGTGGCCGAGAACGGCCTCAGGAAGCGAAGAGTTGCCAGGAAGCCTCGGGAGCAGCAAAAGTACCCGAGGGCGTCCGGTCAGAGGGTTGTGTGGGGCCTCTTGGGGGCCTCTCGGGGGTCTATTGGAGGGTTCTTGGAAGCCTGTAGGGGCCGCTTGGGGGCCCCCTGGGGGCCTCTCGGGGCCGAGGGCCCGCCAAGTCAATCGGATCCCCTGTCTTGGGGGCCTCTTGGGCCGTCTTGGGCTGTCTTGGGGCTCCCTTGGGGGCCTCCAGGGCCGTCTTGGAGCGTCGGAAAGCTGGAAAAGCGAGAAAGCAACAAACATCGTAAAGACCAATGAAAATCAACAATTTTGGCCTCGTGAGGCCATCTCGGAACGCCTCTCGAAGCTCTCTGGGGGGGTTCTTGGAGGCCTATGGGGCTGCTTGGGGGCCTCCTGGGCGCCTTTTGGGGCTCCTGGGAGCTTCTTGGGGCCGACGGCCCGAAAAGTCCATTTGGATCTCCCCGTCTTGGGGGCCTTTTGGGCCGTCTTGGGCGGCTCTTGGGCCGTCTTGGGGCCTGCGGGGGGGCCTCCTGCGCCGTCTAGAGGCTCTCTTGGGCCGTCATGAGGCTCCATTGGGATTCTGTTGGGCCGTCTTGGGGCTCCCGTGGGAACCTCCAGGGCCGTCTTGAAGCGTCGGAAAGCTGGGAAAGCGAGAAAGCAAAAAACATAGACTTTGGCCTCGTGAGGCCATCTTGGAACGCCTCTCGGAGCTCTGTTGGGGCCGTTTCAAAGTCTATAGGGCGGTCTGTTTGCCGTCTTGGGCCCATCTTTGGCCACGCTGGGGCCATCTAAACGTTCCTGGGTAAGCTTTTGGAGGCTCCCCGGGGACTTCTGGGAGCGTCCTGGGCCTTTCTGGGGCGGTCTGGCGCCTCCAGGGGCGTCCCGGGAGCGCCCCAAAAGCCCCGGAACCCCCATGCGCACCCGGGGTCGCGGTCCCGGGCGCCCCGGTCTCGTGCACTGGGATATACATATATATATATATATATATATATATTATGTATATGTATGTATATATATATATATATATATATATATATATATATTCTCATACGCACCTCTCCGAGGGAGTAGAGCTCAGAGGCGATTAATGCGTCCGTCGTTCGCGATTTTCTGGCCGTTTCGCTCGGGACATCCTCGAAATTCTGAAAATCGGTGGCACCCCTCACGCAGATCGTGACGTCAGGGTCCAAAAACACATAGGATTTCCAACATTTTATCATAAAACCTTCAAAAACACATGGTAATTTCAATGATTTTGACTCCGATTCTCAGAGAATGGCGGTTTCGCCTGAGACATCCTCCCAAAATCGAGCCCCAGACCCCTCCTCGGAGCCTCCTGGGGGCCTCCTGGAACCTCCTGGGGCCTCCTGGGGCTTTCTGGACCTTCTGGTACCCCAGACCCCGCCTCGGAGCCTCCTGGAGTTCTCCTGGGCCTGCTGAGGCCGCCTGGGGCCTCCTGGGGCCTCCTGGGGCTTCAGAACTACATGCACACACAGAGACACAAATCACGCCCAACACATCACACGCTAGACAAACATAACATACACACACACACAACACCGACAACACGCAAAAAGCACGCACCACACAAAGCACACATCACACACACACAACACTCACAATCCTGGGGCCTCCTGGAGCCTCTTCTGGTATCCAAGTCGGGCCTCCTGAGGCTTCCTGGGGGGCCCTGGTACACACATCGCAAGGTGTGGCAACCCCACTTGCGCTCGAGTGCGACTTCGCTGTTGCATGTCACTCCTGCTTCAAACGCCCCTTCAGCTTGTTGTATGAGCCTGGGCACACACGTGCCACTTGTACATATATATATATGTATGTATGTATGTATATATATAGTTCAGTTCCATGCGTCTTTATCTGCCGCGTCCTGCTCTGCCCGTACCCGTTGACATATGTGCGCGAAGTGCCGAAGGGGGCCCGCCGCCGGCGGGCGTGTACGGAGCACCTGTGGTCTCTTAAGGCCCCCGGCGCTGCGGCTCGTGGAGGCCGCGGTGCTCCGCTGCCCCGCCTGTCCTGCGTCCTGCGTGCTCCTCCTCCTCCTCCTCCTCCTCCTCCTCCTCCTCCTCCTCCTCCTCCGCCCCCCCCCTCCTCCTCCTCCTCCTCCTCCTCCTCCTCCTGCTCCTCCTCCTCCTCCTCCTCCCTTCCCCCCAGCACCAGCCAGATCGAGGTGCACGAGCGGGACTGGCCGGGCATCTCTGTCGCCCTCCTCCTCGGCATCTCCCTGCTGCGGTGCCGGGACTGGTGCTGTGCGGCCTTCGCCAGGCGCCAGAAGGGCCACTCCGAGGGTGTGCTCGAGCCGACTGTCCCCCCACGCGCACGCTGCAGGTGCCGACCAGCACGGCGGCGGGACGAGGACTGCCCGAGCAGCTGCCAGTGAACACATACGTGGCGACGCCGTCTAGCCTTCGGGCGTGATGGAGCGCTCTTTGGACATCAAAGAGTTTCAGGTGCTGGTTCACTTTCCAGACGATGCCAATGGTTTCTACTGGCATATGAGAATCTTATTGGTCAGGGCTGGTGCTGCAGGAGTGTGGGTTACACTCACGCCCACGCTGGATCTGTTCACGCATGATCTGAGTCGGATCCGTCACATCGTCCTAGCGCGTAATGCGCCTTGGCCAGCCCGTGTGAATAGGAATGAGCTCTTCGGCTTCGACCCCAATGCGCGTGTCGAGCTCAATCAGTTCGTCCAGTTGGCCAGGGTGCAGGCGCGCGTGCTGGCGGACGACGACATGGAGGCCGAGGCTCCAGATATGGTTTGGCTTCGCGCTGGTCCTGGCCTTGAGAGGCTGGGCGAGGTCGTGCAGCGGGAAGTGGTTGACGACCAGGAGCGCTTCACGGAGATCGGGGACTCGGCCGTGGCGGAGGTGAACGGTGCTGTGATCTGGGCCGCCCGAGTGAATGCTGGCGAGCGCGAGGCCTGGATCAAGGAGAGTCAGGCTGCTGAGCGTGACGACAGAATCATCGGCGTGCACCTTCGGAATGGGAAGCGCTACATCTTGCTCAAAGAGGCCCTGGCGCTGAACTCTCAGGTGAAGTATGACGACTGGGGTTTTCCTGGGCCTCGTCTTGCGATGGAGTATCTTGGCCTGGTTGACCAGGCGGGTGGCTTCGAGGTGTATGAGCGCAACTGGCAGCACGACTCTGGTGTGTATCCTGGCTCTGCTGCTTCCCATCAGCACCGTGCAGGCTCGGAGACGCTGCGCCTGCTTGTCGAGGTGGACCAGGTGGACGCGTCCAACCTCCAGGGGGTCGAGAACCTGTGCCGCAGGCAGGTGCAGCTGGAGATGGCCGTGGAGCGGAACCCATCACATCCCGACTTCACGGGGCTCGAGGAGTGCATGGGCGGTGCAGTCACCGCCTCAGGGGCGGCCAGCGTCGTCTCCTTCCGCGAGTGGGGTCAGAAGGATCGGGCTACGGTGCTCAAGCAGGCCAGGCTGGAGCGCGAGGAGAGGGCCCTCGTAGGGTCATCTGATTCCAACTCGAAGCGTCTGCCTCGTCCGAAGGCCGACCCGAAGAAGCAGAAGACGAAGGACAGCAAGGGAGGTGGCAGAGGCGGCGCTGGGGGCGCCGCCGGGGACACATGATGCCTCTTCAGCATGAGCGGGGCCTCCGCGGCGTCGCCCACGCCGCGGGAGGGGGAGGTCCCGCTCCTCCGCCGGGAGCTGCCCGCCGTGCAGTTCATCGGCGACTTCTGGGCGATCGGCGACATGGTGAGCCTTTGCCTCTGCCTCGAGACCCTCCTCCATCAATGCATGGACTCGAGATAGGCCCTCGCTATGTCAAGCAGCGACGAGCTCGGCAGATTTTTCGGCATGAGCAAGTGAATGAGGCGGCCGACGCGCTGAATCACCTTGCTACCTCTACGACCAGGCCTACGGGCCCGATGTATGACAGTTTTGGTAGGAGAGCGCCCACCGCTGCTCAGGTCGCTGTGCATCGTCGACTTCACCAGCGAGTGGCTGCTTGCGGGCGGGCACCTCCTGATCTTGATGAGCGGCGAGCCCTGGCGGAGCTCCTGGCATCACGATCCCAGTATGGACTGGAGCCATCGAATCTTGCAGCGTATGATTTTTCTAAGTTGAAGATCTGTCCGGGGTCACTTACTCCTTGGTCCCCGATGGATGGCCTCCCAGCGGAGGCCGCGCAGATCCTTCGCCACTACGACACGCAGATCGAGCGGAGCACCGACGAGCTGCTCAATCTAGCCCCGGAGTTGCCAGAGCCGTACTGGGACCCTACGCTGCGACGCTCGCCTGCCAAGCGACGACACCTGTTCAAGCACCTGGCTGGTATTGGGCTGGTCTCTTTCCGTCGCAAAGCTAAGGCATTCTGTGCACCTTTTTTCGTGAAGAAGAAGGGGGACGAGATCCGAATGGTTCTTGACTCCCGCCAGGCCTGCCTCAGTCACAGGCGGCCGCCCACCGTGCAACTAGGCTCTGCACGGGCCATGGTTAGCCTTGACTTGTCCGACGACTCTCTGAGCCAGTGTGGGGGCTTTGGTGGCACGGCGTCCGTGCCCGTCCTCGCTGGCGACGCCGACGTCGACGACTGCTTCTACAACTTCTCGAATGTCCAGCTCGCCTCTTGGTTCTGCATGGAGGCGGGCTACACCACGGACGACGCTCACGAGTTTGGAATTCTGCAAATTTGGGATGACGATCTGAGGCGTTACGACGCCCTGAGGCCTGGCGAGCAGCTGTTCATCTGCTTCGAGGGCCTATGCATGGGATGGTCGTGGTCGCTCTACTTGTGCCAGAAGTTTTTTGAGAATCTTGTCGCAATGCAGCACCCGCTCGGCCTTGATGGAGTGCTGAGAGATAGAACGCCCGCCCCAGAGTTGGCTCCAGGCGTGAGTGCCGAGGGGGTCTACGTGGACAACTTCAACTCCTTCAGCGTCAGCGCCGAGGACTCTCATCGGAGCGTTGAGCGTTTCTGCAGCTTGCTGCAGGGTCAGAGCATCGGGACCCACGGCAGGCACAGTGCGGTGACCTACCTGGAGACCTTGGGCCTCGAGTCCCATTCTCGTTTCAAGGTGCTGCGTCACGCACAGCGCCGAACGTGCAGAGATTTGCCCTTGCCACCAGTGCCCTCCTCCGTCGTGCGCTTATGAGGGGTGAGGAGATGGAGGTGTGGCTGGGCAGCGCGGTCTGCATGTTCGCGCTGGCGCCCGAGCTAGGGGGCCACATGCGAACCCTACCCCTACCCCCCACGATTTCTGAGGGGGAGGGTGGGGTTCACTTCGTTCGAGAGCTCCCGAGCGAAGGGAACCCCACCCTCCCCCTCAAAAATCGTTCGCATGTGGCCCCCTACGAGCTACTCTCCGTCCTGCAGGACTCCTACACCTCCGTCGCGGAGGCGCGCGGCCGACGACTGGCTACCCCGTCCAGTGTGAGGCTGGAGATGGAGCTCGCTCGGAGGCTGGCGTTCGTCATCGAGGCGGAGATCGGAGCTCCGACCTGGCGCGAGGTGCACATGGGCGACTCCTCGACCCTCGGCTGCGCTCTCCTGCCTACGCCGCGCCAGGTCCAGGAGTTCCACGACGCGGTCAAGTATCGGGAGCGCTGGAGGTTCAGGAAGGTCCAGAGCCTGCAGCCCGTCAGGTTGGACGCGCCCGGCGTGGTCGACCAGATGGGCGGCCTCTCGTGCCTCGTGGACCCCAGCGATGGCGTGTTCTGCGAGTCCACCGTGCCGGGGCGCGCCACTGGCCTCATCTCAGGGGCCAAGACTAGCTACGGGCAGTACCTCCAGCAACAGGCCGAGTCGGCTCGGCAACAGTGGCGGCCCTCTCGCAATACTGTGAGGGTGCAGGCGCCGCCCGAGGTGGAGGTCCAGCTTGGCGAGGGCATCCCGCCCCTGGCCGACGCGTGGCCCAGACGAGATCGATGGACTACGCTCTACGAGCGGGAGTGGCAGTGGCCTGAGGAGCACATCAACCCGAAGGAGGGTCGTGTCACCCTCCAGTCCCTCCAGCACTTCGGGAGGGACGCCCGTGCTCAGGGCCATCGCTGCCTGTCCATAGGCGACAACTTGGTGACGTTGAGTGGTTTCGAGAGGGGGCGGTTCAAGCATCACGCCCTCAACACGCTCGCCAGTCGCTCGGTCCCTTATCGTCTCGGATGTGGCACTGATATGAGACATCGGCACCTTGTGAGTGAACGGAATGTTGCAGACGAGGGCTCGAGGCGCCTTGATGTTTCCAAGTCTCGTGGTCGGCCCGTCGACCGCTTCGGCCACATCCGCCAGGCCAGAGATCGTTGTCCAGAGAGCTCAGCTTCCCCTCGATGCCCGCCTTCCTCCTCATCAGCCGCGCCTTCGGCGACAGCGCGGCCTACGCAGTGCTGTCCGCCGCCCCCCTGGGCTCCTACAAGCTCCTCTGGAAGTGGCCCTAAGTGGGCGTGGTATACGTCGGCTTACCGTGACGAGATGGTCTTTCTGGAGCTGTTTGCGGGCTCTGCGGGGCTCTCTCGGGCTGTACGGCGACTGGGGCTACGTGTTGGCCCTGCGTTCGAGATGGCTCGTGGTGAAGAGTTCGACCTCACACGGCGTAGTACTCAACGGCTGGTCCTCCACTTGATCCGCTCTGGCAAGGTCTTCTGGGTCCACATGGGTACCCCATGTTCTATTTGGTATATATCTAGGAGGGGCATCAAGAACGGGGAACGGGCTCGGCAGCAGGAGCTCGTGGGGGTCGAGCTGGCTATTTTCTCGGCCGAGGTCGCTCGAGAGTGTCAGAGGTGTAGGGCTTCCTGGTCAATCGAGAACCCGAGGAGCTCAAAAGATCTGGGGCTACCATCCGATTTACGAGCTCTGTGGGCTTCCTGGAGTTGTCAAGGTGGTTTTTGATCAGTGCCAGTACTCTGTGCCGTGGAAGAAGCCTACCATGGTTTCAACTAACTCGTCCTACTTGTTGTCTTTGGAGGCCTGCTGCAAGCGATATCACCAGCATGTTCATCTCACTGGGGGTTGTCGCATTGTTGGCTCAGATGGCCGCACCAAGTGGGTGCGCCGCACGGCTGCAGCAGGGGCGTATCCACCTGCCCTTTGCCGTGCCTGGGCCCGCGCCATATGGCGGGCCGCGCCTGACGCTGGCCGTGGCGCCCAGCCAGACTGGCTCGAGGGCTGGGAGGCTTCTCTCAGGGAGGCCGTCGCTACCAGCGAACGTCGGCGCCGTCGGCGTTCAGCAGCGGCTGCAAGGCACGCCTCCGCAGGTGCCCAAGGGTGCGAGGATTACTTCTTCACGACGAGGGCGGCCAAGGCGATCAAGAGGCAGAGCATCGACTTCGCTCGTGCTGGGCGCGGAACTACTATGCAAGCGCAGCCGGCATGATCGCATTGGTTCTGTGGGTGAGCTCAGGCATCGCACGGGAGGCGACACTATAGCCCTGGTTTCCTTCGCCGTGGCACGGCTGGTCTCAAGACACTCGAGCACTACCGAAAGGCTGCTGCCGACTTCGCCTCCTGGGCCCGCTCGCGCGGCATGCCGTTGCAGCCGCCTCGGGCCTTGGCGAAGACCATGGAGCGCTACTGTGAGAAGTTGGCCCTATCTGGCTATAGTCCTGCTGCTGGTTGTCTGGTAGTGTACGGCTGGGTCAAGCTCAAGTCTGACAATCGCAAGGTGATGCTAACTGACCTTGACCCTGTGATCGAGTCTCTCAAGGGCTGGCCGAAGTTGGTTCGTGAGTTCGTCGTCAAGCCGTGCCCCGAGGAGATAATCTTCCTGATCCTCTTTGGGGTGTCTTTGGGGCGGATTGGGGGCACTCTCGGGGTGCTTCTTTGGGGTGTCTTTGGAGCCTCTTTTGCTGTTTTTTCGGGTCTCATGGGGGCCTCTTGGGGCTTCTGGGCCCCTTCTTGGAGCGTCTTGGGGTCTCCTAGGGTCTCTTGGGCCAAAAGGCCAGAATTTCCGGTTCCTCGTCCCCGTCTTGGGCGCCGCCTTGAGGCGTTCTTGGGCGGCTTGGGCGCCTCGTGGGCCGTCTTGGCCCCCTCGTGGGCCGTCTTGGGGCCCTATTGGGGGCATCCCCGACCGGCTTGGGTGCCTCTTGGGCACTCTTGGATGCAGTGGACGCCCAAAAGGCAAACACAGCAAAAATATTAGTTTCCCCATCGGAAATCGACAATTTTTGCTCATTGGGCCACTCTCGGGGTGCCTCTTGGGGCGTCTTCGGGGCCTCTTTTGCTGTTTTTTCGGATCTCATGGGGGCCTCTTGGGGCTTCTGGGCCCCTTCTTGGAACGTCTTGGGGTCTCCTAGGGTCTCTTGGGCCAAAAGGCCAGAATTTCCGGTTCCTCGTCCCCGTCTTGGGCGTCGCCTTGGGGCGTTCTTGTGCGGTTTGGGCGCCTCGTGGGCCGTCTCGGCGCCCTCGTGGACCGTCTTGGGGCCCTCTAGGGGGCATCCTCGACCGGCTTGGGTGCCTCTTGGGCCGTCTTGGACGCAGTGGACGCCCAAAGGCAAACACGCCAAAAGTATCAGTTCTCCCATCGGAAATCTGCGATTTTTGCTTATTGGGCTCTATCGGTGTGCCTCTTGGGGCGTTTTCGGGGCCTTCGGGAGCTTTCTTGGCGTCGTGGGAGTCGTCTTGAAAAGCGTCTGGAGCCATTGCTGCGGCCTCCTGGGGCCTCTTGGGGCCCTGTTGGCTCCGGAACGCCGAAACCCTATAAAAACACAGGGAAAACGACGCCCAGAACCCCCATGCGCTGTCGAGGTCGCGGTCCCGGGCCCCCGGGCCTCGTGCACGGGGATATCCACTCAAATAAATCCGTAAGATGCTTTGTGGGTTTGCGTTGGCCCCCGGCTCCCCGAGCCTCCCCTGAGAGACCCCCAACACGGCCCAAGAGACCTCCAAGATCCCGTAAGACGGCCCCCAAAGCCTTCTGCACAGAGCCCCGGGAAGCCAAAATCGTCAAATTCCCTTCGGAACACGTACATTTTGGGCATGTACGACTTTTCAAATCCCGATGCTTCACGACGGCCACAGACGCTTCATAGACCGCCCCAAGACGGCCCAACAGGACTCCAAGAGGCTCCCACGACTGCCCCAGAGAGACTCCCAGGGGCCCCGAAACGGCTCTGGAAGACTCCCGGAGAGGCCCGAAACGGCGCCGGAGCTCCTGAGAGACCCCCAACACGGCCCAAGAGACCTCCAAGATCACTCCAAGAGGCTCCCACGACGGCCCAAGAGGGCATCCCAGGGGCCCTGACACGGCTTCGGAAGACACCCGCAGAGGCCCGAAACGGCGCCAGAGTTCCTGACAAACCACAAACACGGCCCTAGAGACCTCCAAGATCCCGTGAGACGGCCCCCAAAGCCTTCCGCACAGAGCCCCAGGAAGCCACAATCGTCAAATTCCATTGGGGAAACGTACATTTTGGCCATGTACGACTTTTCAAATCCCGAGGCTCCACGACGGCCCAAGACGCTTCATAGACCGCCCCAAGACGGCCCAACAGAACTCGAAGAGGCTCCCACGACGGCCCACGAGGGCACAGAGGCCATGAAACGGCTCCGGAAGACGCCCGCAGAGGCCCGAAACGGCGCCGGAGCTTCTGAGAGACTGCAAACACGGCCCAAGAGACCTCCAAGATCCCGTAAGACGGCCCCCAAACCTTCCGCACAGAACCCCAGGGAGCCAACAACGTCAAATTTCCTTAGGAAAGCGCGTGTGTATATATATATATATATATAAATAAATATATATATATATTATATATAATATATATATATATATATCTATGTGTATGTGTATATATATATATATATACTAGAACCACGCGCGCGCTTCGCGCGCGCTTAGGTTCTAGCTAGGATCGTCACCGTCGTCATCATGAACATCACCATCGCCATCATTCCCCCCGCCAGGGCTAATGTACATCGTTTCTGGATGCTTCTGGCCGGAATACGAAAGGAGTTTCTGTAGTTAGAGTCTCTGGGGGAAGTCGCGGGGAAGCTTTTGTTGTCTTTGGTGTTGCGTCGCCAGGAGGTCTGGGCTCCCTCCTCCTCGTGTTCCTACCTCCTCTCTGGACGTCCGATGTCGTGATGCTTTCTGTGCGCGGCCCCTGGACCTCTCGACGACTTCCTGGGGATGTGTTTTTTTTTCATCCTGAGTCGTTTTCTGACGGTCCCGGGACCCTGCGAGGGGCCCCGGAGGCCGAAAATTGACCGAAACCGCCGTCGTGATTTTTCCAAGACGTCGGAGGTCCAGGTCGTGCTTCCCGCCTCCCCAGACCTCCGACGTCGTAATTTTTGCGACCTCGGGCCCAGGAATCGATTGGGAAAACGCACATGGGAAGGCAAGAAATGATGGACCCATCATTTCGTACCTGTGCCTTGATCAGTGGGACGGGCTTCGCACCGCCGCACATCACAAGACACGCTCGAGCGGATCCAGCCGTGGCGACGTCGGGGACTGCAGAAGGTCGCAAGGACACGGAATCTGAAAGGAAGAAAGAGAAAGAGAGAGAAAGAGAGGGAGAGAGAGAGACAGACAGACAGAGAGCGAGAGAGAGAGAGAGAGAGAGAGATGGAGAGAGAGAGAGAGAGAGAGAGAAGAAGACAGAGAGAGAGAGAGAGGCAGAGAGAGGAAATGGAGAGGAGGCGAGCTTGAGTCAACGAAAGTCGCAGGGAAGGGGGCAGGGGGAAGAAGGCCAGAGAGCGCTGAAGGATACAAATACTGGAACCCTCTTGGGATTTTTTGGGGGGCCTCGTCCGGCCGCTCGCTGGGAGTTTGACGTAGCTTCTTGGGAGCCTCTGAACCTGTCGGGGGCCTCCTGGAAGCAGGTTCGAAGCATTTGTGGGGGCCGATTTGGGGCTTCTCGGGGCCTCCTTTGGGCCTCTTGGGGGTCTCCTGGGGCCTCTTGAGGGGCCTCCTGGGGGCCTCCTGGCGGCCTCTTGGGGCGGAAGGCTCGAGCTTGCGGTTCGTGGTCCCCCTCTGGGCCCCCTCTTGGGCCCGTCTTGGGGCCCTCTTGGGCCATCTTGGGCGCCTCTTGGGCCGTCTTGGGGCCCTCTTGGGCTGTCCTGGGGCCCTCT